ACTGTCATAAGTGTCATAACCGCCATAACCGCCATAACTGTCATAACCGCCATAACCGTCATAACCGCCATAACTGTCATAACCGCCATAACCGCCATAACTGTCATAACCGCCATAACTGTCATAACTGTCATAACCGCCATAACTGTCATAAGTGTCATAACTGTCATAACCGCCATAACTGTCATAACCGCCATAACTGTCATAACCGCCATAACCGCCATAACCGTCATAACTGTCATAACCGCCATAACTGTCATAACCGCCATAACTGTCATAACTGTCATAACTGTCATAACCGCCATAACCGCCATAACCGCCATAACTGCCATAACTGTCATAACAGCCATAACTGTCATAACCGCCATAACTGTCATAACTGTCATAACCGCCATAACTGTCATAACCGCCATAACCGCCATAACTGTCATAACCGCCATAACTGTCATAACTGTCATAACTGTCATAACTGTCATAACCGCCATAACCGCCATAACTGCCATAACTGTCATAACCGCCATAACTGTCATAACTGTCATAACTGTCATAACTGCCATAACCGCCATAACTGTCATAACTGTCATAACCGCCATAACCGCCATAACTGCCATAACTGTCATAACCGCCATAACTGTCATAACTGTCATAACTGTCATAACCGCCATAACTGCCATAACTGTCATAACCGCCATAACCGCCATAACTGCCATAACCGTCATAACCGCCATAACCGCCATAACCGCCATAACTGTCATAACCGCCATAACTGTCATAACCGCCATAACTGCCATAACCACCATAACCGCCATAACTGTCATAACTGCCATAACCGCCATAACCGCCATAACTGTCATAACCGCCATAACTGTCATAACCGCCATAACTGTCATAACCGCCATAACCGCCATAACCGACATAACTGTCATAACTGTCATAACCGCCATAACTGTCATAACTGTCATAACTGTCATAACCGCCATAACTGTCATAACTGCCATAACTGTCATAACCGCCATAACTGTCATAACCGCCATAACCGTCATAACCGCCATAACTGTCATAACCGCCATAACTGCCATAACTGTCATAACTGTCATAACCGCCATAACTGTCATAAGTGTCATAACTGTCATAACCGCCATAACTGTCATAACCGCCATAACTTTCATAACCGCCATAACCGCCATAACCGCCATAACTGTCATAACTGTCATAACCGCCATAACTGTCATAACCGCCATAACTGTCATAACTGTCATAAGTGTCATAACCGCCAAAACCGCCATAACCGCCATAACTGTCATAACCGCCATAACCACCATAACCGCCATAACTGTCATAACTGTCATAACCGCCATAACTGTCATAACCGCCATAACCGCCATAACTGTCATAACCGCCATAACTGTCATAACTGTCATAACTGTCATAACTGTCATAACCGCCATAACCGCCATAACTGCCATAACTGTCATAACCGCCATAACTGTCATAACTGTCATAACTGTCATAACCGCCATAACCGTCATAACCGCCATAACTGTCATAACTGTCATAACCGCCATAACCGCCATAACTGCCATAACTGTCATAACCGCCATAACTGTCATAACTGTCATAACTGTCATAACCGCCATAACCGCCATAACTGCCATAACCGCCATAACCGCCATAACCGCCATAACTGCCATAACTGTCATAACCGCCATAACCGCCATAACCGCCATAACTGTCATAACTGTCATAACCGTCATAACCGCCATAACTGCCATAACCACCATAACCGCCATAACTGTCATAACTGCCATAACCGCCATAACTGCCATAACTGTCATAACCGCCATAACTGTCATAACCGCCATAACTGTCATAACCGCCATAACCGCCATAACCGCCATAACTGCCATAACTGTCATAACCGCCATAACTGTCATAACTGTCATAACTGTCATAACCGCCATAACTGTCATAACTGCCATAACTGTCATAACCGCCATAACTGCCATAACCGGCATAACCGCCATAACCGCCATAACTGTCATAACCCCCATAACTGTCATAACCGCCATAACTGTCATAACTGTCATAACCGTCATAACTGTCATAACCGCCATAACTGTCATAACTGTCATAACCGCCATAACTGTCATAACTGTCATAACCGCCATAACTGTCATAAGTGTCATAACCGCCATAACTGTCATAACCGCCATAACCGTCATAACCGCCATAACTGTCATAACCGCCATAACCGCCATAACCGCCATAACTGTCATAACCGCCATAACTGTCATAACTGTCATAACCGCCATAACTGTCATAAGTGTCATAACTGTCATAACTGTCATAACCGCCATAACTGGCATAACCGCCATAATTGTCATAACCGCCATAACCGCCATAACTGTCATAACTGTCATAACCGCCATAACTGTCATAACCGCCATAAGTGTCATAACCGCCATAACCGCCATAACTGTCATAACCGCCATAACCGCCATAACCGCCATAACTGTCATAACTGTCATAACCGCCATAACTGTCATAACCGCCATAACCGCCATATCTGTCATAACCGCCATAACTGTCATAACTGTCATAACTGTCATAACCGCCATAACCGCCATAACTGCCATAACTGTCATAACCGCCATAACTGTCATAACTGTCATAACTGTCATAACCGCCATAACCGCCATAACTGTCATAAGTGTCATAACCGCCAAAACCGCCATAACTGTCATAACCGCCATAACTGTCATAACTGTCATAACTGTCATAACTGTCATAACCGCCATAACCGCCATAACCGCCATAACCGCCATAACCGCCATAACTGCCATAACTGTCATAACCGCCATAACCGCCATAACCGCCATAACTGCCATAACTGTCATAACCGCCATAACCGCCATAACTGTCATAACTGTCATAACCGCCATAACCGCCATAACTGCCATAACCACCATAACCGCCATAACTGTCATAACTGCCATAACCGCCATAACTGCCATAACTGTCATAACCGCCATAACTGTCATAACCGCCATAACTGTCATAACCGCCATAACCGCCATAACTGCCATAACTGTCATAACCGCCATAACTGTCATAACTGTCATAACTGTCATAACCGCCATAACTGTCATAACTGCCATAACTGTCATAACCGCCATAACTGCCATAACCGCCATAACCGGCATAACCGCCATAACCGCCATAACTGTCATAACCGCCATAACTGCCATAACTGTCATAACCGCCATAACCGGCATAACCGCCATAACTGTCATAACTGTCATAACTGTCATAACTGTCATAACCGCCATAACTGTCATAACTGTCATAACTGTCATAACCGCTATAACCGCCATAACCGCCATAACCGCCATAACTGCCATAACTGTCATAACTGTCATAACCGCCATAACCGCCATAACGAACAGCATTTGATAGAGCCGACTCCCCTCCCTCCCCCTCCCCTCCTCAGCTCCTCACCAGGTGGTGCAAACAGCTCCTGGAGCCCAACTTTTTCCTCTTCGTCACAGCTTGGGGTCCTCATTGTGCTCACATGATCTCCTAAGACGCTCGGCCAGAATAGGTCCTGTAATAGCAGGCGCGAGACCTCAGATGGAACATTAAGGAGGAGCTAAGGGACCCCCCCACTCGAGGTTAATTGCTGTCGCTATTGGATAATCATATAACGAAGGTAATGAATTATTTTATATATTCTTTATGGGCAATAAATATATTTCTGCCAGGCCTACGGTGTACGGGTCGAGGCATGAACGTCGCTGTTCATTAGAACAAAAAATTATCTTGGTATATGTATTAATTTAAGCATATAAAAGAGTTACTGTGATATTTAACTATTCTTATACGTATACATAATGATAAATAATCATGAACTTTAATAATCGCCAATGACACTAAACAAGAAAGACAAAACGTCAAACAATTCGAGCGACAGAGTTGATACCTGGTTGATACCTGGTTGATACCTGGTTGATGGGGTTCTGGGAGTTCTTCTACTCCCCAAGCCCGGCCCGAGGCCAGGCTCGTCTTTGTGAGAGTTTGGTCCATCAGGCTGTTGCTTGGAGCGGCCCGCAGGCCCACATACCCACCACAGCCCGGCTGATCCGGAACTTCTCTTAGAAAACCGTCCAGTTTTCTCTTGAAGATGTCCACGGTTGTTCCGGCAACAACCGAGTTGTTTGACTTAAACTACATAATACTACATCACAAAATAATTTAAATGAAGATCGTTTCAAAGTAATACATACTGGAAGCAGGAATTAAATGGAGAGCTAATGGAACCTCAAAAATAATAACAATCAATGGAGAAGATGCGAGAGTGATTATGGTAACAAGTGGATGCAATAATGTGTCAGAAAAGACCAACAAAATAGATTAATGCCCTGAAAATATCCGGAGGAGCGGTGATGTGGATTCGAACCTATGCTGCAGGGTATATCCAGGCACATATATACCGTTTTCCTCATTAATACTTCACGTTAGTGTGATTTCTGTGTATAGATTAATTACATTGCTAGATCAATCGAGTATTGCATATGATACATCGTTAATGTACGTCATTAAGTCACAATAGCGTATCTTGAGGTTATCTTGAGATGTGTGTCCCCGCGGCCCGGTCCTCGACCAGGCCTCCACCCCCAGGAAGCAGCCCGTGACAGCTATCTTGAGGTTATCTTGAGATGATTTCGGGGCTTTAGTGTCCCCGCGGCCCGGTCCTCGACCAGGCCTCCACCCCCAGGAAGCAGCCCGTGACAGCTGACTAACTCCCAGGTACCTATTTACTGCTAGGTAACAGGGGCACTCAGGGTGAAAGAAACTTTGCCCATTTGTTTCTGCCTCGTGCGGGAATCGAACCCGCGTCACAGAATTACGAGTCCTGCGCGCTATCCACCAGGCTACCAGGCCCCTGAAAATTTTTCAGCGTGACTGAAAACTTTAAACACCAAACACACAAATCTAAAAAATCAAGGCATTGAAAAGTTTTTTGGTTCGTCTTGACCATTACAATCACTTGATAATGGTCCCTCTTGACCATTACAATCACTTGATAATGGTCCGTCTTGACCATCACAATCACTTGATAATGGTCCGTCTTGACCATTACAATCACTTGATAATGGTCCGCCTTGACCATCACAATCACTTGATAATGGTCCCTCTTGACCATTACAATCACTTGATAATGGTCCGTCTTGACCATTACAATCACTTGATAATGGTCCGCCTTGACCATCACAATCACTTGATAATGGTCCGTCTTGACCATCACAATCACTTGATAATGGTCCCTCTTGACCATTACAATCACTTGATAATGGTCCCTCTTGACCATTACAATCACTTGATAATGGTCCCTCTTGACCATTACAATCACTTGATAATGATCCATCTTGACCATTACAATCACTTGATAATGGTCCCTCTTGACCATTACAATCACTTGATAATGGTCCGTCTTGACCATTACAATCACTTGATAATGGTCCCTCTTGACCATTACAATCACTTGATAATGGTCCGCCTTGACCATCACAATCACTTGATAATGGTCCCTCTTGACCATTACAATCACTTGATAATGGTCCCTCTTAACCATTACAATCACTTGATAATGGTCCCTCTTAACCATTACAATCACTTGATAATGGTCCCTCTAAACCATTACAATCACTTGATAATGGTCCAGGACGAACTTAAACGTCGTCAGGATTCATTGTATGTGTTATCTTCAATGTAGTACTGATTGATGTATCCTACTGTAGAATACAACATACAATTTTACTCACCACCATGGTTAATAGAGCAATATTGATCCAACCTGTTAATTCTCTTCTGCCACTCCGTAACAAATCCAACCTTCTAACCTAACCTGAAACGAACGAACCCCAAGCAACCCCCTCTAACCTTATCGAGTCCGATGCATAGAAAACGTAGATATTTGAGAACAGAGTGACAACACAGAAGGTATTTAGCCTCGAGGGAAGAAAAAGTATTAACAATTCTAAGAAATAAATCATGTGCAACCTGTTTTGCAATGCTGAATTGATTCCTTCTTGCAAGACGAAGGAATATCTGCAAAGAATTGAAGCTTTTAGGTAAGAATAAACGTACGTTACTGGGGATCGAACTACTGGCGATGGGGATATATATATATATATATATATATATATATATATATATATATATATATATATATATATATATATATATATATATATATATATATATTGTAATCAATATTGTAACTTTTTTTGTGTAATGACATTTTCAAATAAAGTTAGATAAATATACACACATACCAAAAGAATATGGGTGGTAGGAGAAGAAAATATCAGAGTGTTCAGTGAGGATCCACAAGGTCTTCTCTGAGTACTCTTTATTTTCTTCTCCGAGGCTATGGGTCTCTACACTTGCACCAGAGGTGGTACCCCTTCTAGTTATATATATATATATATATATATATATATATATATATATATATATATATATATATATATATATATATATATATAGGTTACAGCAGCACTGTAACCACAATCTCCACCAGTGCCACCACCAACCTACACACCACCACTACCACCCCCCACCACCACCACACAACCACCCACCACCCCCACCACCACCACCAGGTTCGACCCCCGGCGACCCAACTTTCCCCTAAAGAGTGCGGGTCCTGGACGGAGAGTTTAGGAAGTAACAAATTCGTAAGTTGTCAAATTTGCCGGGTCGTAAGACGCCAAATTGGTAGCTAAGTTAGTAAGTCCTGAAATTAGCAAGTTGGGAAGTTAACCATCAAGCACGATATCAAGATATCACGTGAACAAGTTATAAAGTTAACGATCATTTTAAGACACAATAATGAAGCTATTCAGATGGCATGACGCTAAATACTGATGCCAACACCAGGGGGGGGGGGGGCGGAAGGGCCACAACTCCATACGAAACCTTTACATCTTCCCCTCATCACGGCAGCTTTGTTTACGAGAGCTTTGAACCATCACAAACTAGAATTATCGTACTGCTTCGGAATTAATAAACTATTTAATACATGCAAAACAAAACAAAAATATGAGCCAATAAGGGGAAATATCGCGTCAATAAGGAGGAATATCGCACCAATAAGGGGGAATATCGCACCAATAAGGAGGAATATCGTACCAATAAGGAGGAATATCGCACCAATAAGGAGGAATATCGCGCCAATAAGGAGGAATATCGCGCCAATAAGGAGGAATATCGCACCAATAAGGAGGAATATCGCGCCAATAAGGAGGAATATCGCACCAATAAGGAGGAATATCGCACCAATAAGGAGGAATATCGCACCAATAAGGAGGAATATCGCGCCAATAAGGAGGAATATCGCACCAATAAGGAGGAATATCGCACCAATAAGGAGGAATATCGCACCAATAAGGAGGAATATCGCGCCAATAAGGAGGAATATCGCACCAATAAGGAGGAATATCGCGCCAATAAGGAGGAATATCGCGCCAATAAGGAGGAATATCACACCAATAAGGAGGAATATCGCGCCAATAAGGAGGAATATCACACCAAAAAGGAGGAATATCGCACCAATAAGGAGGAATATCGCACCAAAAAGGAGGAATATCGCGCCAATAAGGTGGAATATCGCACCAATAAGGAGGAATATCGCACCAATAAGGAGGAATATCGCACCAATAAGGAGGAATATCGCGCCAATAAGGAGGAATATCGCACCAATAAGGAGGAATATCGCGCCAATAAGGAGGAATATCGCGCCAATAAGGAGGAATATCGCACCAATAAGGAGGAATATCGCGCCAATAAGGAGGAATATCGCACCAAAAAGGAGGAATATCGCGCCAATAAGGAGGAATATCGCGCCAATAAGGAGGAATATCGCGCCAATAAGGAGGAATATCGCGCCAATAAGGAGGAATATCGCGCCAATAAGGAGGAATATCGCGCCAATAAGGAGGAATATCGCCATAAGCGAGCCCTGAAGAATCTCATTTACTCTGAATAAAATAACGTATAAAAAACACATGTTATTTTCAGCTGAATACTTAGATATCAACTTAGATATCAAGGCAAAACACAAACTAAGATAACGTAAAGTCAACCACTTCTAACTCAACCCGTTCCTCCTACTAGAACGTCGCATTTTTGACGTATACTCTACCTAAGGTCCCCCAAAAAATTGTCGTTCTAGAAAATGGTAGCGGTTCGCGAATCTGACGTATTATCCCGTTTTCTGTTTTGGGTCCTCTGGCAGGTTAGGATAAGGGGCAATTTAGTACGACAGTTTCCTGACGTTTAGAAACCTTAGGAGGACGGGCAGGGGAAAACTTGCTAACAACAGCTATGTAAACTAGCAAACTAGGTAGTATCTATGTAAACTAGCAAGTAACTATGTAAACTAGCAAGAAACTACTTTGTAAACTAGGTAGTAACTATGTAAACTAGCAAGAAACTACTTTGTAAACTAGATAGTAACTATGTAAACTAGCAAGTAACTACTCTGTAAATCGGCAAACTAGCTTGCAACTACTCTGTAAACTGGCAAACTAGCTAGCATCTACTCTGTAAACTGGCAAACTACCTAGCAACTACTCTGTAAACTGGCAAACTAGCTAGCAACTACTCTGTAAACTGGCAAACTAGCTAGCAACTACTCTGTAAACTGGTAAAGTAGCTAGCAACTACTCTGTAAACTGGCAAACTAGCTAGCAACTACTCTGTAAACTGGTAAAGTAGCTAGCAACTACTCTGTAAACTGGTAAACTAGCTAGCAACTACTCTGTAAACTGGTAAAGTAGCTAGCAACTACTCTGTAAACTGGTAAACTAGCTAGCAACTACTCTGTAGAGCAACGCAATGTTCAAAGTACTGCAATTATCACGTACATAACCCACAATACAGGTTAACAGCCAAAAGGAAAACCACAGTTTAGGCTATCTTGATGAGAGACAGCATGATGAACCAGCATGATGATGAGACAGCATGATGAGTCAGTATGATAGCGAATTAGCCAGAGAAAGGACTGCACAAAAGGAAGAGACAGCCAAGACATTAACCCAGACAAAGCAATCCCCCTAAGACAAGACATGGCCAAGATAACCCGTGGGATCAAGATACGCAAGATACCAAAGAAAGGATATAAGGGAGAAGGGAGCTTTTCGTTTTATGAGATCGACTTATGAAGATATCTTACTCGTAATACTTTAAGTTGGGTTGAGAGGGGTCCACTCCCCGGAGGCTATCGCGTCAAGAGGATAGCGTCCTTGTCGTTGATATCTGCACAGAGCGTTATGTTAGTATGAGGCTCCTTCTTAAAGATTTAAGAAATGCTCCTTCTTAGCAGTTTATATATATATATATATATATATATATATCAAAATAGTAAACAAGATAGCGCGTTCTTTCAATTCTTAATATAAGAAGATGACATCCTTAAGCCATTGAGGATAGACTCATGAAGATAACCTGACAAACGATAGAAAAAAATACCTTCCAACGTAAGATATCCAGCTAACAAAAAGGTAGATATCACTCCACAAGATATCACCTAATAAGAAACTCTCTTCTCCTGCCACATACAGCACTGCCAGCAAGACAATCTTCCATCGGTCGAGTTAAGAATATCACCATCTTCCACCCCCCACAACCCTTCCCCCTCTCCTTAATATCAAGTTTTGAATCAAGGAATGTCAACAATTTAGCAGATTTCATACTCCTTCGAGCGCACACGGTGAGCAAGTTACTACACATCCCTGAGACGAATACCTCTCTGCAAGGAAGCTAAGTTTAGTGTAGAGAATTCTGCCTGTCAGAGGACGTTATGTCCGTCTGTTGAGTAAGTCTGTGAAGGGGGACGGGTAACACAGAATGGTACAAACAGAAAGGAGACATTGTCTTTCCATTGGAGACTTTCAGCGCCGTGGAGTAGGGGAGGACCTGCTGCCTGGGTAACAGCTTCTCCCCCGAATCAACCTACCTACCGGGGAGCCGGTCGGCCCAGCGGACAGCACACTGGACTTGTGATCCTGTGGTCCTGGGTTCGATCCCAGGCGCCGGCGAGTAACAATGGGCAGAGTTTCTTTCACCCTATGCCCCTGTTACATAGCAGTAAAATAGGTACCTGGGTGTTAGTCAGCTGTTACCAGCTGCTTCCTGGGGGTGGAGGCCTGGTCGAGGACCGGGCCGCGGGGACACTAAGCCCCGAAATCATCTCAAGATAACCTCAAGATAACCCTGGCTTTACACCCTGGTGAGGCCACTCCATCCATCAGTCTCCTGAGACTGATGGGTGACTACTACTATAAATAGGACAGCTAATATAATGGTGCCAATTATAAATGGGGGATACTTCATGATGGTTTCTATTTCTGATGGTTCTCCGTCTTGTGTGTGTGTATGTGGTAATGGTTTGCCATTATTGCAGTATATTTAAATGGGGTTATCGGCATTGGGTTCTAATGGTGTGTATGACGACCTATTATTATACGAAAAGTAGTGTCTCAATGGGGATAATAGCCTGCGACGCTAATATTACAAAACGTGAGTCCTAATGGGGCCAATATCGTCCCGCCATAATACAACAAAAGCATCTAATGGGACTAATGGTGTCCTCCCGTAATACTGCAAATAGCGCCCATTCATTGGGGGAACGCGCTCTAATACTGCAAATAGTGAATCTTTATAATAGTGTTCCGTCTTAATGGGATTAATGAAAATAAAAAAGAGTGTCATTTTCAGTGTTTACCCCTTATTGAAGATGGAACTAATGGTGTCACGCTTTAAT